TAAATAGGAAATTTTCCTTGGTACAATAGATCCTGGGAAAACAAACCTGACCAATCTGATTAGAGGAAGTCTAAGGAAAAGGTCTGGAACATTTAGATAGCAGGCGTGAATAGCAGGCAGCTCTTTTCACTATCACAATGAGCAATGTTAACGAAATTTCATATTTGTCCAAATATAACTAAATATAGGTTTTTTTTAGAATAATACGAATAATACAAATAAAAAGCGAAAATATAGAATAAAAATTTTTTTTTTCATTTTTCCATCGAGGCAACGATCTACAGTGAGATCCGTTCTAACGAGACGCGATAAAGTGCAGGCGTACCGAGCGAAAATTCAAAGTCGATTTTCTCGAAAGCAAAGCCTCGAACGAAAAATTTCTATTCTATATTTTCGACTTCTTTTTTCGCCTAGAATCACCCCCTTCCCGCTTGTACCGCCAGTTACCAACCACCCTGTATATTGCATAATATATAACATATTATATACATAATTTATAATACGTTATAATATAAAATATATATTCTTGCATAAATATGTATATGTACGTTTACATATTATGTGCATTCTCTGTAATTTGTCCCAAATCTGAAAACATTCCATAAATGCATAAAAATTTGCAGTGTATTCATTATAAAAAAAAAAAAAAGAAAAATACAGGACTATAGATTTTTCTATAGAAAGAGTCGGTCTAGACTCTAAGAATGGAATCAATGAAAGAAACAGTGGCGAACTGTGGTTTTTCCGTTGAGTCCACCCTTTCAACCCCCTATGAACAGAACACGATATTCTTTTTCCTTCAAGCTACGATTTTTGTCCGTAGAACGGTTCAACATGGAGAAAGAGAGCGTTCGTCCGTCGGAGAGATGGAAGAATGGGTGGTGGCAGTGGCCAAGGGGGTGGTATAGAAGGAGAGGATGCGTAGGTTGGAAAACTCCTGACGAAAGCCTGCAGACAGCTCTCAGCACAGTAGAAGAATGGCCGATACTGTTAGAAGGGAAACCCAGGAAGAAGGAAGAAAATAGAAGAGGGGGGAGGGGGGGTGGAACAGTTGTAAAGAAACGGGAATGTTGTATGTTACCGGGCAAGGGGAATGGCCGAGGAATGACGCTGATCATCAATTTCTCGCTTTGTTGTCTGGGAAATTGGGCCGTAAAGCAATTCCGCATTGTTTCTGCTGAGATTTATACTCAGTTTTCATGAAATAGAAATAAATCAGAATTCCTAATTATTTGACGCATGTGACAATCGGTTGACGCTCGATGTAAATGTATAAAGTCTGTTTTTCGACGAGGTGACTTTTAATTGGGAAAATGTAAGATAATAGAGAAATTGGAAAAATGTGATTTCCATAGAAAAATAATAAATGTAGGTATTTGAATCGGTAGATTATTATGGATGCAAAAATTATACATCGTATATTCTGTATTGAAAATTTAAAGAAAATCATTTTAAATTTTCATAAAGCCGCGCGATATTTACATTTTATTTAAATGTAGTAACGTGCAATATTCAAGTCATATTATTTGACATTTTTATGAACGTGAATTACAGAATATTTGAACGTAACTATATACAAAGCATCCCTATAACTATACTAAAAACTATATACAAAAATTCATTGAATTGTATTTATGAATCGGTTTTACAGCCTGATCGATGTTTACATACAACACAATACCCGAGGTACAATCTTGAAAATTTCGCATTATTCGGCTCGTGATTTGTCTAATCTTGGAGACTGGATTGAGAAGGTTGATAGAAAAATCGTTTAAAATTGTTGTGATGAGAGAAAAATTATTTGAAAAATCACACGAAGTCCTGGAAAATGAAGTAAATACGAAAACAACGTCAAATTTTTCTACAGAATTTATTTATAAAAATAGTTTTCGAAGAACACAATATTTATTTAAAAAAGAAAACAATTGAATCGAATGGACGAGAAATGATACAAGATACAAAAAAGAAATTCAAGATTCAGTGCAAGATGAAAAGTAATTAAAATTGTGCCAAGGGCGTGCAAGTTTATGAACTATTATCCGAAAACACGCAATAACAAGAAGATTAATGGAAAATTTCGTGCAAGCTCTAGTCTGGGAAACCCTAAGCGATGGCCATCTTGCCCCCTCAGGCCCCGATTGCAGTAGATTGAGTCATCGACGACACCCCCCCCCCTCCTCCAGAGGGAGAAAAGGGTTTTACTGTCTTAGGAAATCGATGTTTCTAATTGGTCGGGCCCAAAGGATTAGGTTGGGCCGGGGACAGCCATAAACTGTATAAATTGGCAAGGAATGCTACGTCTATACTCAGTAGCCTCTGAAACGTGTAAGTAGTCGGTGCATAACTAGTCAGGTGAATATTTCAAGTGAACTAAGTGGAAAAATAGTTGTCGTTGTGAAGACATCAGCAAAGCTAGGAAGATGAACAATCATACATCTCGGAATAACATGACCGCCAACAACTCACCTCCGTCATCGACGAGCATCGAATCTTCGCCCAATTCGTCCATGTCCAACTGCACTAACGATATCAACGCTAGGTATATATACCAGAACGTTTTGACTACGGACTACAACGAGCGAATCTTGCGGATGATGAACCCAGCCCAGATGAGGCCCAGCAATACGACGTGGATGAATCAAGAACAGAGGGAATACTTGCAGCAGACACAGGCAAGAATGCAGCAGATACGGCCAACAATGCAGCAGATATGGCCAACAATGCTGCAGACACGGCCAACAACGCAGCAGATATACCCAACAAGGCAGCAGATACAAGCAACAAGGCAGCAGATGCAGCCAACAAGGCAGCAAATACAAGCAACAATGCAACAGATGCAAGCAACAATGCAGCAAATGCAGCCAACAAGGCAGCAATTACAAGCAATAATGCATCAGATGCAGCCAATAATGCAGCAGACACAGGCAACAATGCATCAGATGCAGCCAGCAAGGCAGCAGATACACGAAACAATGCATCAGATGCAGCCAACAAGGCAGCAGATACAGGCAGCAATGCATCAGATGCAGCAAACAACGCAGCAGGAACAGGCAATAATGCATCAGATGCAGCCAACAACGCAGCAGGCACAGGCAATAATGCATCAGATGCAGTCAACAACGCAGCAGACAGAGGCAACAATGAATCAGATGCAGCCAACAATGCAGCAGGCACAGGTAACAATGTATGAGATGCAGCCAACAACGCAGCAGGCACAGGCAACAATGTATGAGATGCAGCCAACAACGCAGCAGACAGAGGCAACAACGCAGCAGGAGCAGATTGCTAATGTAGCAGGAACGTCTTCATCATCGGTACAAGGTATTTATCTTGATATTTATTTATTTTTATGGAATTTAGTTTCCTTCGAATGGTTGAGTAACGTGTAGTTGATCCTTGAAATTTTTCTGATTTAAAAGAATTATTTTTACTTCGTATTCTTATAAATTCAAATTAATTCTTTACAATTCTTTACGAAACAGAAGAGTGTAGTATAGGTTTTCGTTTAGATCAACGAGATAAGAAGAGTGAATAATTTTTATACTGAATTGTCAAAAATATTTGGAGAATTTTTATCTGATAGAAAATTTGATTAAACGCTTATCCATCTTGTATATAATATATAATATTTAGATTTTTAGACCTAACGTTTCTTAAAATATTATAATATTCACATATATGAGGTTTATTAAAAATTGTCTACTTTTATTTTAAAAATCTTGTTCGCTTTAAATATTTATATATCTACTACTGCTCATTCAAAGAATCATTTAAAATAGTACATTTTCTTTATTTGTAGATTGCAAATAGGTAAAATATTATAATATCCACATATATGAGATTTATTAAAAATTGTCCACTTTTATTTTAAAAATCTTGTTCGCTTTAAATATTTATATATCTACTAGTGCTCATTCAAAGAATCATTTAAAATAGTACATTTTCTTTATTTGTAGATTGCAAATAGGTAAAATATTATAATATCCACATATATGAGATTTATTAAAAATTGTCCACTTTTATTTTAAAAATCTTGTCCGCTTTAAATATTTATATATCTACTACTGCTCATTCAAAGAATCATTTAAAATAGTACATTTTCTTTATTTGTAGATTGCAAATAGGTAAAATATTATAATATCCACATATATGAGATTTATTAAAAATTGTCCACTTTTATTTTAAAAATCTTGTCCGCTTTAAATATTTATATATCTACTACTGCTCATTCAAAGAATCATTTAAAATAGTACATTTTCTTTATTTGTAGATTGCAAATAGGTAAAATATTATAATATCCACATATATGAGATTTATTAAAAATTGTCCACTTTTATTTTAAAAATCTTGTCCGCTTTAAATATTTATATATCTACTACTGCTCATTCAAAGAATCATTTAAAATAGTACATTTTCTTTATTTGTAGATTGAAAGTAGGTAAAATATTATAATATCCACATATATGAGGTTTATTAAAAATTGTCCACTTTTATTTTAAAAATCTTGTTCGCTTTAAATATTTATATATCTACTAGTGCTCATTCAAAGAATCATTTAAGATAGTACACTTTTTTTATTCGTTGATTAAAAGTAGGTAAAATTAGCGCAGGTTTAAAATTAGCCGATTACAAAGGGAAAGAAAACACGCGAACGTTTTTATTTGATAGGTAAAATTACACAGCAACGTTAAACAAGAATGTCCGTCGCCGTCACAGATTCTACAGCAAATAGACGTTCCTGTAGACATTATTGAATCAAGTTTGATTAACGAGCTGCCCATTTAGGAGACTTTAGTCTCGAGGGATTATAAAACGGCGCTCTCGTCCCGCTTGCTCGTCGATGCTCTACATAGGTTTACATAAAACAGAGTCACCAGATGATGGACTGCTATCCTTGGGTCAGTGGTGACACGTTTATTGGTTGCGAAAATACACCTTAATTATCTCGATATCATAGTTTTCTGCTTCATTGGAAATTCTTCATTTCGACAAATTTTTATTTCACAAATCTCTTCTCTCCTTAAGAAAATTTGTCCAGTCGTATTTAAATCGCAGGATGACTCTTTCTTCGAATATTTCCTTATTGTTTCCAAGTTTAAAGAATTTTCACGAAATTAGCTTATCAACGAGGTCGATAGACAGATAACGTGCTTATCATTTTCGTCACTAGTTCGATCAGAATGTGAAAATCCGGCGTCCAGTTCCAATGATAACGTTTCCTCGAATGTTACACGAATGTCTCTTCCCCTCGGGGCAACGATATGCCCAGAAATACCTAAAGAACACGCAGTTCGCATCGCATGTCGCAATAGGCTGTTGACGTATCGATAGTCGAAGATAAAATATTGAAACGCGTTTGATTCTATACAAATTTCTATCCATCGATCGGTTTTCGATCAGTTTAGTGTTACGCAGGAAAATGAGAAATTCTATTTCTTTTCTTTCGTTGAAGTCTCCGATAGAGCGTTCGACTCTTCTACAGGCACAGTTACCCGGGTCCACATAATTTTCAAACAAACTTCAATTCAATCTTGAGAAACAACCAAGAATTCGAACAGTAAAAAGAAAAAAAAGAGAAAGAATTTTTTTTTTAATTATTATTTATTAAAATTACAATCAATTCTCGCGTTGAGAATTTTCAGTAATATAGAGAAAGACTGAAAGAGAAAATCATAAGTATACTATATCTATAATAACTATGAATTAAATGGAAGACGATAATTTTTGGAATAATTATTTAATTTAATTATTATTTATTAAAATTACAATCAATTCTCGCGTTGAGAATTTTCAGTAATATAGAGAAAGACTGAAAGAGAAAATCATAAGTATACTATATCTATAATAACTATGAATTAAATGGAAGACGATAATTTTTGGAATAATTATTTAATTTAATTATTATTTATTAAAATTACAATCAATTCTCGCGTTGAGAATTTTCAGTAATATAGAGAAAGACTGAAAGAGAAAATCATAAGTATACTATATCTATAATAACTATGAATTAAACGGAAGACGATAATTTTTGGAATAGTTTCAATTTCATGGCGCATTTTTCGTCGATTATTTCTGTTTTTCACGGCTCTCCCGGCAGAGTCAGGTTGCGTCAAACAACGTCGTTTATCAATCATCGATCGACAAATTGTCGCGTGCGAGCCTCGCGACCTCGACGACTAGGCGGTTCTCTTTGTTTCATCTGTGTCATTGACGAATCGTATTTGCTTGTAAATTCACGCCAGGACCATTTAATCCAATAACACGGCTTCAGTGTTGAGCCTTTGAGTCGCACAGCGGGAACATAGCCACCTCGTGAGCTGACGAGTTTCCCACTGAGCGACCCTTGACACCTTCTCCATTCGCATTCTCCAGACGATTCCTGTTTCTATATGGAAATTATATTTCTATCCTGTCGAAATTACACAATTCAAAGAATCTTATGTGAACAATTCGTAAAAACCACAAGTTCTTTGCTAAAAAGATAATTATAAATTATAAAACTTTCACTTAAAAATTATATTTCCACCGTGTTATAATCGCAAATGTATATTGCATGTGTTATGTCCCGAGGCTTACTAACCGGCCATGTTTCTAACCTTATCCCTTGGTACTATACTGTTGTAGACAGATCGCCTTACATGCCTGGCGAGATATACACAAAACAGCGATGAACACATAGTTGTCGTCAAGCAGCAAGTTCTAGAAAACATCGATTCGCCTTCGTTCCGTTAGTTTACCTACGCAAAAAAAGTGGCGTACGTGAGCATAGGCGCGAATTGTTGCGAGACTCGAGCGTGGTGGGGATCGTCTCCTAGAGAAACAAAACATAAAATCGAAGGGCAGTCAGTATGATTTGAGGATTCAAACCGAATGCGTCGAAAGTTTCAGAGAAATAAAATCTAGGTTGCTTAGTCAAACGAATACGTCGAGAAATATGATAAAGTCGAGTGGAATTATAAAATAAACTAGTTATATCATGGTTAAATCATTTGCAACGTGTTAATTATAATTTTCAAATTATTAAAAGTAGAAGTGTATATTAACCCTGTTAATTCAGTGTTACGATCATTTGAACTACCTCCGTTATCCTAATCGAAATGGGGGAACGACTGATTCGCGGCGTCGACTATCAGAATCATAGCCTCTCGTTGACGCGTTTCCTCGCGATGCGTTTCTCCGCGAACCGTCGTAACACATGTTGAATGTGTAGGTATAATTCTTAAAAAGAATAGTCGGTTTGAAAGAAAAATTTCTTCTGAAAGAAATAGTAAACTTATTTTTATAAATTCTAAGCTATTTCCAGGCGGAAATTATATTTTTATCATATAGCAATTCGAAATGTAAAATCTTCTAAATCTGAACAATTTTACTGTAATATCGTAAAGTAGTTCGAACTAGAGGTCGGTTGAAATTAGAAAAAACCGTGTACGTCGTCTTGCTGTGGTTCGTTTACATTTAAGAACACCTATGTGACTAAAATCACCTAGTTCTTACAGTGATGTGAGAAAAACAATAGACAACGTTAGAGGTTGGTTTCGTGTTTCAAGGGGGGATGACCGAGAGGTTAGAGTATGCGAGTCGAAAAGTATGTGTGTTGCGAGAGTCAGAGTTGATCGAGACATCGAAGAGTTGAGATTTAAAGTTTATTGAGTCCAAGAATACAGTTTTAGGTACATATTCACAATAAACGGTGAATTTTTGTAATGGTATGTTAGGCAAAGGTACCGATACGCGGCGGTACGACGTAGCCATGTTGTATTATGTGTCGGCGCTTTACATTTTTCGTTGTATAATACAATTTTTGGGTTTAAGTCGCTGGGGTGCTTTTTTATGTATTTTTTTTTTATTTTTTTCTGTTCTGAAAACTTGGTCGCAAAACAGGATGCTTCGGAGACATCGAAGAGTAGAGTCGAGAGAATTGATCGAGTTGCTAGAGAGAGAGAGAGAGAGAGAGAGAGAGAGAGAGAGAGAGAGAGAATGTGTTAGATTCGTTGTGACGAGAGTTGCCAAATAACCGTAAAGTTATTTGAGATAGATACGAGTAATCCGATGATTTAGTTTCAGTTAAACAAACATCGTTTTCAATTCGTATATTCAATTCAATATTAATAAATTGCAAGTAATCGGGAAAAATTGATATCTTTATTTTCCACGATATTACATTACTATGAATTTCTATTCTTATAAATTCCGAAAACTCTAATTTTCCTAACTATAATTTTTAATACATCTTCTCGGACATATTCATTAAATAAAAGATACATTTTTAATTTCAGGAGCGGAAAAAAAGACTAAACGCACCCGAACAGCATACACCAGTGCGCAATTAGTTGAGCTGGAGAAAGAATTTAACCGTACCCGTTACCTGTGTCGCCCACGACGTATTGAATTGGCTGCAGCACTTTCTTTGACGGAGAGACAAATCAAAATCTGGTTCCAAAATCGGAGGATGAAATATAAGAAGGACCAGATTTTGACCTCCGAAAAAGTTAATGCTGCAAATCTGAAACCATCCACTTCGTATGAAAATACAGACGTCGCATCGAGCGCCAATTGGAATATCGAAAACGTAGCGATGAATAATATGGCGCACACGTACCCGGGTATCGCCGCAATCAGTACACAACCACAACCACAACCACAACCACAACCACAAACACAAACGCAACCACAAACAGAAACAGGCATGTTCAATTGTCCCCAGTATGGCAACCAACAGATGCACACTCCTGAGAATGCGACTTACTACATTGATCCAGGACCGTCAACACAACATCACTTTACGAATCCATATTTACATCCAACATACAATCATACAATGTACAATGCACAACCACAATACGAAAGCCAAATGCCATATCCACAGGCAGAAAATGCAGATTATACACAACGTAGTTCGCATATAGATTCAGAGGAGAACACGTATGAGAATCATCAGAATTTGGATAACAACGTTCAAGAGCAACCGACGGCAACGCAAGACGTGAACGACCATACACACGCTAACGCGTGTGATGTACCAAATTCGGAAGCAGAGGATTCAACATTGCAGGAAGCGATTCGGAGCAGCCTGTTGGATCTTCAAGATTTAATAGATATGTGAATTACGTAAATATGTATAAAAATTTGCAACGACTTTCGGTTCTTGTAAATTTAGTAAATTTCTGAATTTAATGTACATAAACATATACATAAATTTACATAAACAGGTAGAAAAATTTGTAAATATGTAATTAATTATAAATTATAATAATTATAAATTATAATTAAATAAATATGTAAGCATTAATTTCGAAAACAGTTACTATTATATAACCTTGTTAATTTGTCAAAATTCTAGTAATATATTAGGTTGACCGACAGGTCAGGTGTTTCTAATTTGCTTACAGAGATCCAGGTTGAAAGGATTGAATGTTTCTAGTGTAAATGTAAGATAGTGCATAGAAACTCGCCACAGAATTCGGTCACGACTTTTATTAAATAGGTAGTTGATGATTGAATGCTTGCGATAATTACACGGTACGGTACAATGCACGCTTACGTCATAAATAGGTGAAAATAACGGAGATAGTGATAAATACAGTTTACAGTTAAGCAACTACACGCTTTTGATTTTATCTCAGTAGCCATACCGACTTTTAAGTAAGGGTAGACGTTAATTATTTCATAAGTAAAACTTCCTTTTACCGGGCTGCCTGGCACGGCGGCTCCGGCGACGAGGCGCGGTGTGACAATGGCCACACACCGCTCCATCAAGCGGCGGTATTAGGCGCGCGGGAGGGGGGGGGCGGGGCCCGGTG